CTTTTTGTTCACCAGTGAGTTTCATTCTAGTCGTTCCAAATGCAGACCTACTTATTTCGTGATTATGTTCTAAACTAACACTCGTTATCTTGACCCGAGTAGAGTTAGCAGGCTTGAAACAGGTAATTTTAGCTTTGCACCCAATGTAATTGTAGTGTAGTTTAGTTCGTTTACCTGTACTATTTGAAGGCCGGTTGTAACCATGTCGGCACAGAATTGTAACTTGACGCTTATTGTTGTTGGTAACAATTAACGGTTGGTAATTCTCATCACAAAACGTTTTAAAAGTTTCAAAAAATTGTTCATAACTGTTGAATATTTGGCCCACTTTAATATCATTCTTAATATCATCCATGATAATGAAAGAACTCAAAAAATCACGCTTCACACAAAAAAACGCAAAAAACCGAACAAATAACTATGCATAGAACACAAAATTAAACACAGAAAGGACCACGGAGAATCACGGAGCATAGAATAAAATGCAGACAAGTGTCTGCGAGCAACTGGTTTCATGTAATATACTTTTGTACTTTAACTTTACTGTTTTTACAATGTGGTAATATTGCGATGAGTACAATTCAAGACTGATTATCGGTGTGGTGGAAAATCCTCACGTCACCTTATCGAGACAGTGATTATCTTAATGTGATGAAATAATCTGCCAATTACTCTTATTAAGTTTTATACCAAGCGTGCCTAACCTTTTCAACTTGTGGGTACATTCGAAATTTATATTTATACTACGGGCCGTATACACTTCACGGTTTTTTTTTTTGTTCATTGTGATAAAATGTACATAACAATAGACATGATATTATCTTTTTTCACTTATCGAATTGATCACTCTAATCGTGTATGTTCAAACTGTATGTACTTCAAGTACCTATTGTATACAATATCCATGATTACCGAGCAAAGAACGATTGACTGTTTTTTTCAGTTTTATATTTTATTTTCGATACGAATGTACAGTACCTGCATACAACATTTTATGCGTAGGTACCGTACCTGCATTTAACGTTTTATGTATAGGTACCGTACCTGCATATAACGATTTATGCGTAGGTACCGTACCTGCATATAAACACAACCTTAATTTATATTGCTTTTTTAATATTATTTTTTTTTTGTAATGTATTTTTACTACCAAATAAAAATTTATATCAAATTATAGTACCTACCAGTGGCTAGGATTTTCTGAAGGGGGCTGTTAGTTATAATTATTAAATATTATATATAATACGTACAAACTAAGACTTTTATTTTAATTAATATGTATACATAATGTCTGTAATAGAGATGTAATGTATATTCGAATTCGGATAGCTTTACCATAAATTATTCGAATATCAGTATTCGATGCTACAATACATATTATTATTAAACGTTTTGTGTTAACGTAAACGAATAATTTTCGTCACGTATTGTCGCAATCGCGATAATGTTAACCTGAATATATGTAATTAGTATTGTGCATTATTTTATATTTCATATTGTATTATCGATTTACCTATATTCCTATAATAATGTAATATATGATACGACTCAAGGGGGGGGGGTGTCATATCTACCAAACATCCCCCTTGTATACGCCACTGGTACCTACCTATTATAGTAAACCTTTGTGAAGAATATGTGTGATGTGTGTATAACAATTGTGACTATTAATATAGTTATTAACAGTAATTAGTTGGTATTGAATTAAACTATAATTATAATTGGAAAATAGATAAATAAAAATTTTGAACCCCCCAAACAATTTCTGGGTACGCCTTTGGTTCATTGCCTATAGCTCATGTCCCTGTAGTTCATTCGAGTGAATAAATAAAAATACAAGTATTAAATCGAATTAAATATTTATTTAATAAATGTAGTGCAGTGAGTTTGTATTATACAGTGGTATAAAACTGTATTATACAAGGTATTATATGTTACATATGGTATAAAATTATTTTATATAGACAGTATAAAAGAAAAAATGAAAGCGTTATTTTTAGTAACTCAACTATTAATTTTTTAGTTGTACTTATAAAATGGATCTCCAATAAAGTACAGTATTATTATAAACATTAAAAATATACAATATTATTGTAATAGTGTTAATTTAGAATTCAGGTGTTAATAATGACTAAAATAAATTTATTGTACTTTTGTAATATTCAAATATTGTAAATATATAGGTACAATGAGATAGTATATAACTATAAAAGTAGCAAGTCTCTTTATTTCTATTTGAAAAATCAGTATTTCTATGTATAAAATACATACGTATGTTACCTATACCATAATTGCAAATCGATAGCATGACTAAATATTAATTTGGTGAATAATTTTTGTATTATGTATTTTTTTTAATTTTTTCTAACTTTTTAGCCATTTTTTCAATTATTCCATTTTAAAATAATTTATATTTCATAATTAACAATGGGCTTTGTTTAATTCCTTATAATTTAAGGTACTGCAAGGTTCTATACGGTATAATACTGGTATAATACGGTATTATACAAAAAATAAATAAAATACCGTATTTTAACATCTCTAAATAAATGTATTTTAAACATACTGCACATAAAATAAGTATTAATAATAAAAACACAAATAGTTCTTATATTAAAATTGTACCTTCAGTCTGAATCCTGTATAAAAAAAACAACAAATTATCATAGTAGTAATAGTACCTATTAATTATTTTTTAAAAACTTTAAAAAACAATTAAGATAGGTAACTTAATTTAACAAGTATCTAAGTAGAAAACAAAAGGTTGGTAAGTAGTCAAATAATTCCAAATTTCTTTATTTCATTTTGGCATATTGTCAGTTATTATGATTATTATTTAGGTTAGGAACTTCTAGCTCTATAAAATATACAAATATGCATGCATTTGTTCACAAAAAAAAATGACTAAATACCTATGCACAACAAAAAGTACCAGATGTTATGTTGTAAAAAAAAATGATAGGACATTTTTTTTTCAACAGTATTGTTTATCTATCTTGTTTGGTATTCAAAAGTTATTATCGATTATGACCGTTATGGGTATTGTTAAATTGAGATATTCAGTTTTGACTTCTGGTTTTTACCGTTGGGTTTGATAAATTGCACAGTAGCAGTAAATTGAACGAATATTTAAATGGTAATAAGTCGCAAACGGATTACTGAAATTAATTCTGTAAACGTTAAAATTATTTTTTTCAGTATGTTTATATATTTTCGTTATAGAAAATAGGTACTGACATTTTAAAATCAAAAGTTGATAGTGTTTTATCAAATAAAGGAGGAAGTTAAAATTATTAAAATTGTAACACAGTGTAAAATAGTAAAACCTAGAAAGTTAAAAAAAAAAAATTATTTTAAAATTCCTAATACTTCCCGAGATATTAACTGGTTCACGATAAAAAAATCACCTTGTATTTCCACGCATTATAAATAAATATAAATCGAACTATATTATATATAATTATATAATATAATATAATTATATTATTAGCCTATTATTTAACCTATATTATAATATTATAAGTTATAACCTATATTATGCGTAGTTAGTGCCTGTGTTATCGGGATTGGAGTTCTGTAATCGAATATGTCAGTACTGTGACAACATAGCAGTGTGAATCGTGAATATTATTCACTGAATAATATACGTATTTATTGAATATATTAGAATTTATTTATATATATATTATAAATTATTCTGTAAGATGTAATACAAAAAAACAAAAAAAACGATTAATTAATACAACAAACGAAGTAGAAGAATATAAAAATAAATTTTTTTTAAAAATGACGTTTTTAAAAAAAGTATGCAACAATTATTTGAAATAATAAATAATTAATAGAATTATAAGAAATATTTGACTTTATATAAATACAAATTTAATTATAAAATTCAATTTAAGTTCAAAAAGATGAATCCGAAAATTAAGTCAAACAATTTTTTGGGGGGTTAATAAGAACCGCCTCTCCAGAGGTGGCCTCTGGGTAACTTTAAATGATTCTTATATTATAATTTAGACAGTTATGTAGAAATAGATTTGGCGGAAACGAAAATCGAACATTTACGTTTTGGCGGAAACAATACTTGGCGAACACGAAAATCAAGTTTTTTGGCGAAAACGGCTGACTCCCACAAAGTCGGTTGCAATTAGGTACTAAAAGATTACTAAATTTGGGGATAAATCCGGATTCGATTAGATATAGTCGGTGGGCCAACATTACGTACATACCAATTTCACTTAAAATCAGGTTTTCGAGATCAATTCCAATTCCATACGTATACTTTATTTTCAAGTTAAATATATCAATATAGCAATACAATCTACCTAATCTTGTATCTCTTCCGATCTAGGAGTTCCAACATTTTTTCAATATTTCTTTTCTAGTAATAATAATTTTTTACAACATTATTTTTTAAAATATAAAATCTGTAATTATTTTTTACAATAATCATGCACAAGGATAAATAAATTGATATATATATATATATATATATATATACATGACTAAAGCTGCTATCCAACTGTGGGGTAATTGTAAGTTGTAACCTAAGGTACAACATTTTGATGTAATTTGTGTCCAAGGTATTTTTTATATTATAATGTTTGTTAAAAATTAACAGCCAATATTTTCCTTCCCATTTTATCAGACATAGGTCTGTCAATATTAATGTTATAATATAGGTGTGGTTAAAAACATTTTTTTAATCACTTTTAAATTAAAACTTAATTTATTATTTATTATAAGTTTACATATGGTCATATTTTTACTAAAACTTAATTAATTAATTAGTTAATAATTTATTATAAATCTATATCGAGGCAGGTAAAAAGTTGAATGAAAGTTGCCTCACAAATTAAATTTGAGTTATTTTTCTTATTTTTATAATAAATTTTTTTTTTTCAATTTTTCTTTTGTTTCTAGTGTCCCGACATTTAAATGCTATATAAGTATTACTTTTGATATTTTTTAAAATTTCTAGAACGTGGACCGCAACTTACGTATATTATTATCGAAATGCAATCAGTGCTGTAGAAACCGTCGGTGCAGGCGGTGCAATGCACCGGGGCACTTGATCTTGAAAGGGCCCTACGGCCCTACGCCCTTACCGATTATCTGATAATGTGACCTAAAATATACAACAAAGAAAAAAGAAAATTATCTTATAAAATTATATTAAATACTATTGTGAGATGATGAATAAAGGCCTTTTAATATATTATGTTGATAGACGCACAGACGGTAATAGTTGCATAATAATATGTAACTATATTACCTATAGTGTCGTTAGCATGAGACACGAGTTCGCTGAAACTTATGATATTTCTGGCTTGCGAGCGACTCTATCAGTTTCGGTTCACGTTATCGCGATTACCTATTTCAAAACGTGTATTTATAGATTATTGTGTTGAACAGTGTATCTATAACCAATCAGATAAACATAACATTTGTGATTTGTCGACTACGCGTCGTTGTCATTCATTCCTTAATACGCATGGAATAACAGCCTAGCTCTAGTATACGAGTATCACTTATTTTTATTCCAATTAAAAATGTCTACCAAAAAACATTGCATTATGCAATTTACATTTACCGAAATTTTAGTACTTTATAGAAGAATTACATTTAATAAATTGACTATATAAAAAAGCTACTTTTTTATTATAGGAATTTAAGTGTAATTTAAATTAATTTTTTTATTTTAAATATATCATAAAAAAATATAAAACAGCTAAAGTGATAGGAACTAATAATTAGTTATGTAGGTATTAATAAGATACAGTTATTTATAAAATTATGTTTTCGTTTCTATCACTCTAGCAGTTTTATATTTATGTATAATTAATTTGATAAAGTCATCTGGTAGGTATTTTTTACTATTTACGTATTGAAATTTGGGATTTAAGTCAAGTATATATATATATATATGTAATTATTACAAAATAGCGTAGAATTTTTTATTTTTCAATTTTCGGTAAAAATTAATGAATGTCGGTTATAACTATATATAATTTATATTCTTATTTTTATATATAATTGAATTAAATTTTGTGTTTGTATGGTAGCCGTTAAAAATTTTAAGATTTTCTTTTGTTTTCGGGCCACACGCGCGATGTATGTCACAATAATAATAGAGGTCAACTGATGCGTGACCAAAACCACTCCAGAGTGCCGATTCATTGTTATAGTGTTTTTTGCATCCCCTAAAAAAAGGGGTTTATACATTTTTATTTCCATTATTCATAATATTCCCCCGACGACTACTAACAAAAGAACATTTCTCCGACCAACTGACTTGGTGGTGACGACTGGACAATGATAAAATTCTCCCTATGAATAAAATGTTGTCTTTTCTAATATTAAACATGAAATATTAAAATTGTGCGGAAATGAGGAAATTCAATTTTTTCGTTTGTTGTTTATTTGAATCATAATATTTTTCAATTTTTTTAACGATAGTCAAAGGAATTTGTTGAATAAAAATGGTTTAAAAATTAATTCGGATCAAATTTTATTAGAACGTGACGAGATAAATCGAGTTTTAATTTAGATGACGAAACGTGGTTATATTTGGTTTTATTTTTGGCTTTATTTCATATCAAGAAAACCTTAAGTCTTTACTTATTTAGTTTAAGTTAAAGCCAATAAGAAGGAATATTAATTTTTTATTTTCATGGAGATATATGGCAGATTACATTTACAATATCAAAAATTAATTAAATATACAATTTAATAAGAAGCCACACGATTGAACTTTCAATGAAGGCTAACGATGAAGTATGCAAAATAATCTCCAAAATAATAATCAGAATAGTTTCAAAATACAACTGAATTAAAACATAATAAAGAAGCAATAAAAAAACATCAACCATATTGTGATATGAATGTAGATTTCCACTCACATTAATTAAAGAAATCAGAATTTGTTTTAACCAAGGGATTAACAATTTAAAATTCCAATTCTTATCGTTACTAAGTTCTCGCTACACAAGATAGATCAAATGATCTATCACATTCATACAAGACTCAAACTCATATTCATATAATTTCATAAAAACCATTTCCAATTTATATTAAAGGCACATTCTCCTAATTGTATCTCAAACTTGATGTAAATTATGAACTTACAGAATTTATGTGTAAAATCAATTTTTCATACTTGATCAACCATACAAATTGTTATGAACATTACAGACTACTTATTAATATATATTTAAGAAAAGTTATAGTTTTCATATTTACCAGAAGTATAATAAACATCCATTACGGGTGATTTAGTCAAGATATTATTTCTCAGTGGCGTAACTTGGAGTCAATCCTAGGGGAGGGGGGCAAGCAGAAGTAAAACTAAAAATGCGTTATTACTATTAATAAATAAAAAAATACTTAAAACTCATTTTTTTTTTGTTTTACATTATAAGACTGATAAAACGATATAAAACTCAACAAAATTATTAAAAATTATAAGTTTTTTCCTTTTTCACTCATAATGAACGTAAAATGTAAAAATGTTTTTAACAATAGGTATAACCGTCGTAACGTCACGCGTCGTTGTGACTTGTGACAGAATCACAGAATTATTAAATTTGTAGTAAAGTACTAAAGTATTATTCTTGGACATGATTATATGATTATTGTGTGTTATTATTAATAGTAATATAATTTGATTGTAGTCAATTAATAACTGGTACCATGGGCCTTTACACTTATAAATGGTAAAAATAAACACGATAATAATCTTAGTTCGCATTGCGCTATTGCGATAATAACTAATAACCCGCCATGCCATCACTGTCATCTCTCTACAATTCCTCGTATTACGAAATGAAAGCGCTCGGTTTATAATGATACTATTAATAAATAATAAACTGAGGCAGTCAAAAAGTCAAAACGATAAATCTATTATTATTAATTATTATATAATCCATTATGCTGTTTAATTTTTTTATGATAAAATAGAAATTGAATTATAAGTTATAACTTTTAAAGGGGGAAAAACGATACTATTGCCCCCTCAATAAAATATCTGGAGGGGCAGTTGCCCCTTCTTCCCCCCCCCATTACGCCTATGTTATTTCTGCTCTTTTGTAGTTAAGATATCAGATGACCAACGTTCATAATATCAAGCGCTTTCCGATAAATCACCTTTATCCCTTTTTTTTGTGACACAAAAATTTTGATAACTAACTCAATTAAGGTATAATTTTGATATCGAAAATACATGGTTTTTTTTTTTTTTTAGAAAACTGTATATTACACTAGCACCTATAATAATTTGTAGTATGATGGTATATTGCATGAATTATAACAAGTAATAATTTATTACATTTGTAACAATTATTTCAAAACCAAGTATGTTAAGTGTGAGTAATAAATTACATATTATTTGTAGAATTTTTTGACCTTCGATCTAAATAATTTTATATATACTGTAAAACATCACTTAACGATCACCTCTAAATAGCGGACACCATAAAATAACGGATGTTATTACAGGAACGGTGGAACATTTTCATTAATTTTCTATATGAAAACCTCTAAATATGGGACACTATTAACGGAAACTTTTATTCAATTTTTGAAATTGATCATTTTTGTCGTATTTATCATATTTATATATATTTAGAATAATTTTTGAATATTTAAATAAAAGGCTAAATTATTAAATTATATTGTATTACATAGGTACATTATTATACAATATAGTAAATCTTATTTTAACTATCCAGTCGTTTAAATATTACCGTGTCAATCAAATGCTGTAACTAATGCGTTGTCGTGTTATTATTTAGTTGTTTATGATGCCAATACGAATGTTTTTTTTTCATAAAGGTTAATTTTTAAGATGTTTGTATTTAATTAACGTAAAAATAAAATTATTCTAATTTATATTTAAATTTAAATTTAATTCAAATAAAATGGCTTCCTCTAAATAGCGGATAAAATTTCAGCGACCAAAAGTGTCCGGTACTTAGAGGTTTACTGTACAATGATTTATCATTTTAGATCGTTACCAATATTTTTTGAAATAGTTTAATTATTCATTCATAGTTTTATAGAACGAATAATCAAATACTTCCCTTTGGACCATAGCCACGTGCTATAAATGAATTAATTCAAAATACATTAGGGTGGATACTCTAAATATGTTACCGAAGGGTCCAGTTTAGTTTCCAAAGGGTCAGATCAAAAGAGAAAAATATATATATAATAATGATACTAAAAAAAAAAACCATAACTGATATAATTTATATTAAACTATAACGACGATTTGTAACAATCGATCATTATACTAAAATATTTAAAAGCATAGGTACAATTAAACAATTATTACCCTTCAATTATATGAAAAGATAAGTTAGTTTGTTGGATTTTTTTTATAATTTTATAATCACTGATGCAGAAGTCATTTATCAAAATCAGTATTTTACATTTGAATCAGATGTGAAAATTAACAAAGAAGACAAAAAAAAATATTGATAACAATTTTTTTCCTCCTCGCCAATGATGACAGTGATAGACGATATGAAATACTATTGTTAAATTTTGTTTGGTAGAATTTCTGTTATAATTATTTTAGATCGACAGTAAAGAAATTTTTTTAGTTTTTATTAAAATGATTAAAATATTTACAGATAAAATGTATTTAAAAGTTTGTAAAAGATAATCATTTTTGTTTTGTTTTTTTTATTTAATTTATAATTAATTTATATTTTATATTTGGTTTCTATAAGTATTAGTTTTACAATAATTATAATATTTCTTTGTAATTAATAATTTTTTTTTTTTTTTGAATAATTTATATTGTTTTTTAAAATCTATAAAGATTGAATCCGTATATTTACGTTTTATATCAAAATATTAAATATGACTATGGTAATTTGTAAGAAAAATCAAGATGTTGCATTGATTAATTCATTTTGTTATACTGCCTACTCCCGAGAATACCAAAAAAAAGATTAAACCATTTTACTGTAGGGTCATGATTAAGTAAAAATTACGTATATTTGTGAGTAAATTCATAGTTTGATTTTTACTCTGGAGATTAATTTTTCAAAAAATAAGAACCATAAATTATAAAGTAAATATAATTAAGTATATATTATTAAATATATATATAATTATTAGATTATACTGTTCATCAAATAAATAATTTAATGAATAGATTGTATTAGATATCTAATTAAATATTTCTGAGTACTATGATATCTTTAATTGTTTACCATTAATTTCATTATACTCTTTACATTTAAATATAAAAAAATATTTTTTGAAACTGACTACGTTTTATAGAATAAATAAATAGGTAATTTTATTTTGTTTTTATGTATATTTTAAAATTAATTTTTATAGAACTAAGAAATAAATTATTTAATAAGTAATTGGTATTGAAGTTTGATGATACTAACAAGTGCGCAATTTATCAGATTCTCTTAAATATTAATATGGAGAGTCTTATTGATACACTGTTTATTTTAATTAATAGGCATCACAAATCGCTAGATAAAATAAGCGTGAATTTTTGTTAATATAGGAATTACTGGGAAAAATATAATTAAAATTTAATAGTAAGTAGTTCTATAAAAATTACATGTTTGTCACTTAACTGTCACTTCTTCACCCAACATCAGGCTACGAGAATGACCATGGTCCGAATTTTAATGAGGTTGAAATAGGAACCGGAATGTGCGTAAAATACCCTTGGTTATGTTTGGACTGTGACAAAACAAACAACCCGCCTCAATACGCATTAAAAACACATAAATAAAACATTTCTCCCCAGTATTTTTAGTATTTTTACAGTGTATTTGTAATTAAACCCCCACTGAATAGCTCACGACACTTATGATTATTATTTTTCAGACATAAATCATAAAACTTAACAATAGTAACAGCTTGGACGCACCCTCGATCCATTAACAATGAAGGGGCGAACTAGAATTCTAGTCACTTTGAATATTATACTAACGTATTTTATGCAAAACATTGTAAGCTAAAGAAGTGGTCATTGGTACATGTTTCATTACAGTTTAGTGTCCATACATTTTGATGATAAAATAATAATGTACTTTAAATCGGAGGTAGCTAGCAAAGAAAGATACTTACATGAGTCACACAGAAAATATTTAAAAATTTCAAAAGATTTTTGATTACAATTGCTTGGAAAAATTGAATTTACAAAAATTTGTAATATCGTTTAAATTAAAAATTATAATTTCAAAAATATTATTTCAATTTTAGTTATAAAAAAAATAATCAAATTAAATACCTAATCACTTTTTCTTTTTCATTATTTTTAAAATCTCATAGAAATGATAAAGGATCGGAATTTTTATAATAGTAAAAAGAGATTATTTAGAAATATATTACGAAGAATATGCTCCGTAGGTTGGTCTAGTGATAGGCCCAAATATAGGTGCTTAAATATTATATTTAATTTGGTTATAACTCATAATTATTATTAGTGCAAAATGAAAGAAATATTGTTTAAGAAGACGCCACATCCGCATGGTGTTCCATCTCTGTTATACAAACGTACAACATAACAAATTTGTGTTAAGTAATTCAAATGTTGTGATGTTAAATTTAAGATTAGAATAAACAGACCTACAATAAAATTTTAGGGAAGAATATTAATCTGTGTTTTGCTTGTATCGGTTTTTTCCAATATTTTAATTTTTAAATGAATAATTATAAGTATGTAAAATATTACAATTTAAATAACTCATAACTCGCTTACAGCTTTATTCACCCTCATTTGTATAAATGTTATATAAATGTAAATTCAACGCATGTCGAATTTACTTTGACCATTTATGCATTTTGAATGGCATTTATAATTGTACCTCACCCTTTATTTTATGTTATAAATGTCAGTATATTTTAATATTTTTCTATGTAGTAAGAATAAAAATAATTTATTATATATAGTTACTACCTAATCTCGTTTGTTGTAATTTATTAGCCTAGCTTATAAACTTTTAATATTGTCATAATTATTTTGTTTGAATACCAGTTAACATTTATAATTAAAATTAATTTGTATAAAAATTTAAAAGGTTTTCAAGATGTACATTTATTGTCACAAATTTATAATATATAGTATACTTGTATAAGTTGTAAAATAAATAATATTTATTCTTTAAAATCATAACAATTATTTGATTTGATTTTCACCATATTGTTTCTGTAATTTTATTGTAAAAATTCGATTGACGTTTAATAAATATTTCTTTGTAATTTAGTCTACTTAAAATGTGAATTTATAAACTTTATCAACTTTATTTAAGCAAGATCTCCAGGGATATATATACTACTTAAGGTTGTATAGTTATCTATTAATTATTAAATTAACTATAGAAATTATCTTGTTGGCTATTTGATAACTGATTTAAAATGA